GCTGACCAGGTGATGTTCATATATGCCACATCTACAATCTCTGAAAAAGGTGAACACAATCTGATTAGTGCCTGTTGAGTAGTATTATTTGATTGATCATTTTAATGTCAGAATTAAAATATACACTAATTTGCATATCAATAGATGAACAGTGGAGTTGCTACATTGATTTTCTCGTGAAATCTTACGTAACCAATACTTTGACGTCCAATATTATAAGTATTTAACAATGATCTAAAATTATTTCACACTTAATTATTCAAAATACATGCAAATATGCAAATTTATTCATCGCATCAATACAGGATGTTAATTTTGATTACTGTTTTACGAGTGTGCATTTATGTCAGAGCGCGTGTTCGAATTCCATGTAAATAAACAATGTATTTTACACGCGTTGTATACGTCGCTATGAGTCCCATATCGAACAGGACGCGGCACGACGACTGTCGCCATTTAATATCTGCTAAAAATACATACAATACGACATCCTTCATATTGTTTTGAACTCTGTAACCGACAACCACAAAGTGGTCACAAAGTGATGATATAAGATACTAAATATGGAATAATTAAACTTTGAACATGTTTTCCATGGAATTAACTGGAAATAATGGCGTGTTTGATTCTATGAATTCACCACTACTATACACTTAACAGTCAAACAGTCATTCGTAGTGTCTAGTATCATTTTTTTTACTTTTCTTGAATTGTGTCAACAATAGTTCCTGTAACGCATTGCATGCATTTTTTGTTTCGATGTCTAACTCGCATTTTTGTAACTAATCTTCCAGACCCAAAATTTCAAATAGTCGACCTCTTACCAAAATATTTTCCGAAACTTCTAATATAATATTCTCTTATAGTTAAAGGGTGCGGGTCTATATTGTATATTGTAAGGCTCTTAATAAGCAATATAACTTCATGTTAACGACTAGGATATACAAGTCACTTAGTACAGGAACCGAACACGTGGTTTCAACTGACGCTATCCACTAGTACACTCAGCAATCGTCTCCGATACACGATCGAGCACCACACCGTGATGTATCATCCACGTGTGTTCATCCATGTCAATATTAACAATGATTGATCACTCTATTTTCCGTTACTATCTGTTATTGTCACTCTATGTAATTGGTGTCTGGGGGAGTATGTAATCCGTTCAAGACGGCACGGGGTGAAAAAGCGATGTGTCAAATATAATTAGGCCACACCGACTTAATTTTATGGATGACAACCGCGCGCGCATTAGTTTTCGCCTGTTATCAAAAAAAAAAAAAAAATCTCCGACGAAGAGTCTCCACAGATCGGTTTTCTGTCCGGAACTTGCCGACTCATATTGTCGCAAAGCGCCGACTTGTCGTAAAACTCGTTTTGGACTAACT